GGTGTGGTGGTGTGCACCTGTAGTCCTAGCTACTCGGGAGGCTGAGGTGGGAGGATGGCTTGAGACTGGGAGATTGAGGCCGCAGTGAACCATGATTGTGCCACTGCACTCCAGCCTGGGCAACAGAGCAAGACCCTGTCTCAAAAATAAATAAATAAGTAAATAAAAAAACTTAGTACCATACTCCCTGCCTCTCTGTAGAACCTGTTCTCTGAAGGGGAATCTTTCTCATTTCTTGATATCCACATGTTCCCTGCACTCTGGCCTCAAGAACACCTAGGGTGAATGCAAGTGCCCATTAACTGTTTTCAGTAGAAATCCAAAGTACTATAGAGTCAAGGGATCACTGTTCAGCCTCTCTTTTTCGAATAGGTTTAGGAAACCTGTGCACGATACCCCCACACACAGGTGCACACACACACACAGACACACACACTCTCTCTCTCTCTCTTCTCTCTCTCTCTCTCTCCTCTCTCTCTCTCTCTCTCTGTCTCTCTCTCTCTCTCAGAGATTCACATGAATTGTTTTTTTCTTGAGGTTCTTGTTCTGTTGCCCAGGATGGAATGCAGTGGCATGACCACGGCTCACTGCAGCCTCAACCTCCCAGGCTCTGGTGAGCCTCCCACGTCAGTCCCCCAAGTAGCTGGGACCATAGGCATAAGCCACCACACCCAGCTAATTTTTGTATTTTTTGTAGACACTGGGTTTTGCCACCTTGACCAGGCTGGTCTCAAACTCCTAGGCTCCAGTGATCAGCTTGCCTTGGCCTCCCAGAGTGCTAGAATTACAGGTTGGAGCTCCGAGCTGGCCTAACCGTGAATATTACCATATGAAAGGCACTGAGAAATCCTACAGAAAAATCATTAAACTTTGTTTAGCCCAACATCTCCAAAATGTAACTGGCTGTGGAAACCTCCATCCTACCTGCCTGTTTCTTTTTAGTAGACTTACTAGCGTTCCTCAGAACTAGCACTATAGGGAACACCTTTGCGACGTTCTGTATCCAGTCTTTTCATTGCACTGATGAGGAAATTGAGGTCCAGAGAGGTTGGGAGCTGCCTTTCGGTATGTGCCAGCTGCAGAGCCAGAACCTGATTCACAAACATCCTTCTAAATCAATACTCTCTCCAGTAAATCACACTTCAGTATGTCTATTCCATACCTCTGATATATAAACAGTACACACAGCACGAGTTGATAGCCTTTCAATTGCCAACTTACAAATAACCCTTTAAAAAAATACAAAGAAATCGCTAGGTGAGAGCTGAGATCATGTATACAAACTTGAAGTGTGTTTATGCACACTATTAATCGCCCTTGTCATGGTTTAAACTAGTTATCCAAGCCTTGCCGGTATCAGCTGTTGACTCTCATTGCCTTGTCACTGAAATAATACCAATAACAACTACTAGCTCCCTTTTTGCTCTCAATGTGAAGGATAATATTAATATATTGATGCAAATTTCTAGCATTTATCTTTATGTATTCATTTAAATGGAGCCAAAGCTAAAAAAATCACTTGTTAACAATATAATCAAAAATAAATTTTTATACTGAGCACTTCATTGATAGATCAAATCCCATTATCACTAACTAAAAGGAAAACCCTTTACTTTAAAATTTGGTTGAAATTGAAACAATTTTCGAAAAAGAAAAGAAGGAAGAGAGGAGGGCAGAAATCTTCATTTCTGAAGGGGTTATAACTATTTGTTATATTAAAAAGTAAATTATGTTTGACTGTAAACTTTAAAAGGTAGGTAGCATACAAATTTTTTTAAAGAACACATTTTGAGAGCAGTCAGTACCCAACTTTAAAGAGTTTGACTGGACTGTCTAAGAAGTTAAATATTCAGTGCCTGTGGTCTGTATTTGTTACCTAAGGCTTCTTAATCAGCAGAAGGCAAATGATACCCTGCAAATGTTTCTAGCATGCAACTTTGCTTATCTCCCTGTATTAATGATCCTTATGGCAGCTGTTATATTAACCTTATCACATAGTACAGCAGTAAAGGAAAACTATTGTGAAGGATGGAAAAAAAAACCATTTTGTTTAATCTCTGGGACCTTTTTTGAGCTTAGCAATTTTCTGATTGTCAAGGGTGGAAAAAAAGTGAAAGTTAAACTTTTACTGAGTTTATTTACAATCTCAAAGAAGAAACTGGACATTTCCAAATGGTTGATTCAGTAAATATCGTACGGTTTGAAGAGGACACAGATTAAATTATCGACTAAATGCTCATTATGTGAGTTCTGGGTTTCACGGGGTCCACTAGGGAACTCCCACCAGGAATCAGAAATTGGCTCCTGAGAAAGGCAGTCTCTCCATCAGGGCTCAGAACTGCTCATTTGTATGACATTACCAAAAAAAACTTCCATTTGCCCCTTGTAAGACTTCTATCTCCTTCTTCATACAGTCTCTGTGTGCACGCAGAGGAAATGCAGAGGCTCTGTCTTTTAATCCCTCTTTAACTTGGATAATACCAAACCCGACCCTGACACCATTCTACCTTCTCTTCTCTCATGGTGTTGAGAAATCACTTAACTCAATGATTGCAATTAATGTTTTGTTCAACTACAAATGCTTGAGCTCAACCCACATACTAGCAGAGTGAACACAAGCCCCTTCCATTCCCTCACCTAGGTAATATGCTTTTTCATTTTTTTTTCATTATCCCTTTAATGCAGAGCAGGGCTACTGATTAGCAAGAGGCAGTTTGACTCCAGCAATAGGTCTTCTTCACTAAGCCTCACTGTCATGGAAATTCCAGCTGCTACAAGAATAAGAGGCTCAATCCATATTTGCCAGCTCTAATATGAAATCTGTCAGAGCCCAAATTAATGAGTTCCAAATTCCTTACATCACGATAACAGGTTAAGACTGGTCAATTAATTACATAAATCCTTCCCGATTCATTGTGCGTTTGCAGCCCAGATTGTGTCTTACATTACTCCATGACACAAGGCCTTTTGGCTCCTGTTGTTCCGCAGAAAGGCCCGATTTAAGTGGAGGCTGCCTGCCACGGCAAAATGTTAAATGTCACACGTTAAATTTGCACTTTTCTGTAATTGCTTTTGTTAAAAAAAAAAAAAAAAAATTAAACGAAAGCACAGGGCTCCCAGTAAACCGCTATGCAGACTGCTGGGATTGTACTGCCTGGATCCCAGGGCAGGTCAGCCTGTATTTTACCTCAAACAGTTAGCACATGCTCCCCGATGCTGGTCCTCTGTAAGCAGTGGAACCCAGAACGTGCATATTTGTGAAAATAAGCCAAGTTTCCCTAAGATCTAAGATTCTTTTCTTTATGAAAGGATTAAAATAGGATTCTCTACATAGCCAGCTTCCCTTGTCTACCAGTAAAACTATGGAATATCTTAAACACTGTTGATCCAAGCACCTTTCGGAAGTATGTGCATATTGTATTTGCACAGGCCTTTGCCTTCAAAAAAAAACCAAAAAACAAAAAAGATATTCCAGATGGCTTTGCTATTGGGATTTGTCCCTGTAACACACCTAAAGAGAGTGGATTAATTGAGGACCTCAAAATCAACCAGGCCAAATCTTTTCCTTTTTAAAACATCACAATGTGCTTGGAATCACAGCTAGTTAGAATTCAACCTGGATGTTCAAGATTCCTAGCGTGGTCTCTCATCTCACTACATTTCTCTGTGGACTTTTATGCACTGGAAACGGTTCCAGTTGTATTTCCTGAACCATCTTATTGCGGGATAGCGGTTCTGCGAATACACGAGCGAGCAAATGATGCTCCTAAGTACAACCGACGCCTACGTAGGGAGCAGGTGCTTTCTACTTGGGAGCCCTAACACCACTCCCACTACGCGGGGAGCTCGCCAGACCCAACCAAGGGCGCGATCTGCAGATGGCGGCTGCAGCCTCCGCACTGGCCCGGCAGCGCCCCCTCCTGTCCTCCGGCGGCCTGGCACCTGATGTGTTACCGGCTTTCTCCGGGGACTAGAACACAGTCCCTCCTAAGGGATCTCAGCCGAAAGCGGATGTCAAACTTCTATCTCCCCACTTGCAGCCCCTACACACACGCGCGCGCGTACACACACACACACACACACACACACACACACACACACACACACACACAGAGCACTCTGACCCAGGCTCATTTCTAGACCTCGAGCCACGCACTTCTTCCCCAGCAGCCCAGTCCCGCCACCAGACGCGACTGTCCCCTCCCTCTCCAGACGGGAGGGGGCAGGTTAACGCGGCCGCGCGCCCGCTGGACAGGTTTTAGCCTCTTGGGGGCCTACAAGGGAAAGGGGTTAACTAATGTGTGCGGTGAGTGTGCAGATGACAAAATTTAGGGCGTGGAGAGTTTGCCCGGCCCCACCGCATCCGCTTGCGGGGACCCTCGGGTGCTGGGCACCACCGGGCCAGGGCAGCACGTTGTCGCCCCTCCTCGGGCCGGTCGCGAGCGTCTACAGAACAAAGCCTGGAGTCCAGCCCCGGCCCCGGCCCCCGCGCGGCCGCCCCTCGCCCAGCCCCTGGGCGGCAGGGCCCAATCCACGCGCGCTCTCTGGCCCCGCGGGGCCCTGGAAGCCGGGACACGCGGAGGTCCGCAGGGTCATCGGCGTTCACAGCAGCCTCCCACACCAAGCGCACCACCCGGAGACCCTCTGCACGAGCGCTGCTTATTGCTCTTTTCCCCAGCAGCCAGAGTCGCGGGATGGGGCCTCGCAGGCCGGTCTGCAGCAGGTGCTGCCGGGAGCCGCAGGCCGCGCGGTAAATCGCTGTCTCTTTGCGTTGTTGTTCTCACTCACCGCCCGCCGCCCCCTCCACTAGGGCTTTTTTTTTTTCTTTCCGCCGCGCAGTTGCCATGGGTTACCAGAGCGGTTGCCATGGGTTACCGGACCAAGGCCGGCTGGCTCGCTACCTGCCGCCCAGTCACCGCCGCCGGCAGAGGGTGCAGCTTCCGGAGCGCCACCGCCAGTGGGGTGGGGGGCAAAGCTATAAAGAAGGCCCAGAGGTAAGAAACTAGCAAAAACACAACCACAGGTTATGCCCGTGCTGTGCGTCTAGCAGCAAAGACAAGCAGTGTGGGCTTTTGGATGAATCTACACTTCTCGTCGGGGGAGAAAGGGTATTTTCCTCTTTAGCATAAGCCATTTGCATAGTGTCTTTAGACCAGAGTTTAAATTCAGGAGGAAACTGTAGCTTAATGGGTTTTTTTTTTTTTTTTTTTTTTTTCTCTCTCTCTTTTCCTCTATGTCTTTTGAAAAGAAGTCTTTGGAATTTTGGAGAAAGAGAAGGGGTCATTAACTATCAGTTTGCGCAGCTAAAAAATTAAGTGTCCAATGCACTGTTCATGATCTAGAAAAGTTTCCAGTAAGACTGAAGCGCAATTGTGTCTGCTAAAAGGGACAATGGTGACTGGTTTGTAAGATGCATATGGCAAAGAATAGAGCCAAAGTCCTTTGTATATATAGCAAATGTTAAAGAAATTGTTGCTTATTTACATCCTTCTGAAATTTTTGAACTCCACTCTATTAAAATTATTAATTTCTTATGACGTTTATTTGCAAAGAAAATTCTATGCTTTGAATGTCAAATTGCAGTAACTAATTTCAGACAGTATTTTGTATTTGAAAATGTATTCATATATAATCAACTAAGAAAAGGTCTGTATTCCAAACAAAAACACAGAATTGTATTGAAATAAATTGTTTCCTTCACTGAAAAGATGTTGCGTTGTACTCACAGGATACCAGCTAATAATTTAAATATTAAGGGGAAAGCTATTTAGAAACAGAATAAGCTTTGTTATTTTTGTTTTTTAAATGTTAAGAGGCCTCTAATGAACAAGGGTCCTCTTTTACAGCTCAAATACTGAAAGCCTTATTTGTACCACAGTAGCTCAATAACAAGGAATCTTTAAGGCACCCAAAAAATACAAACCAAATTCAAAACAACATCCAGTTTACTGTTGGATATAACAGTGATTGTGGCCAGGCTAAATGAATTTGTTTAACTTCTTAATTGTCATAAAAGAAAATTTGTTCTTTTACTTTATACTGCATATCAGCTGTTTGTATTTAATTATTCAATAAAATGTAGACTAGATTTGAAAAACTAGTAAGATACTTAATATCTTAAGGGATAATATCTGCTTAAAAATAAATACTTGTTTTTCCCTAGTAATTTTCAAAACTTGAAATTTTAACTAGAATTAAGTAACTTTCTTTCAAGTGAGACTTTATAAGAAGCCTAAGTAACAGGTTGTTGACTTTCACTGTTGACACCTTTGGGTTATATATAAATCTGGTTCTACAACAAAACACATAAATTGGCTTTATAGGTGAATAGTTTACCCTTTCAGAATTAGCCAGGGAAAATGCCATTTTGCTGTATTGTAATAAGAAAGAATCCAGGAATACAATTCTTTACATTTGAGTCACATTAAAAATAGTGTTAAACATCTATTCTATTCAGGTTAATTACCAAAAGCAATTATTTTCTTTTTCCTAAAGAAAGCTTTATAAAAATATGCCAGAGAAAAATAAGAGACGAAGCAAGAAAACCACTGGGAACTGAAGTTCATCTAAATCTTTCAGCTGCAAAAAATCAGTTTTCAGAAGCCAGTGTGTAGACACCAAAACAACTGAACCAAGGCTAGAAGCCTCAAATATGTACAACTATAGCGAATATCAGACCACGTTTTACCAAATTTCATCATCAAAAAATTCAAAAACACTGAGTTTTGGTCTAAGGCAGAATATATTCTCTTGTACAAAATAAGTGATCCAGCAAAGTTGATTTTTTTTCACGTTTAATGTAAAAATGATGAACTCATTACATTTACATACCAGGTATATTAGGCATTACTTAATATTAATTTTGATGGCTATGATACATTATCTAAAAATAATATGACAATTGGTGGCACAGTATGTGTTTTTCAAAACAGCTGTAAAATAAATGTCAACTCAAATACATATTAATTAAAGGATGAGGATCGCTCTTAAATGCCTGGATGGCACAAACTTTACATGTTAGCATGGTAAGAAATTGCTAAATATTTTCTTTTCCTGTATTAAAATCATGAGGATCTAAGACACATTAAATCAAAATATTTACCAAAATTTAATAATGTTTTAGACCAAAGAAAAAAGGACAAAGAAAAAAGAAATCATTCTTATTCTGAATTTAATTTTTTAAATGTTAGTTTTTAGTTTTGTTAGCTTTTTTTTTCTGTTGGTTCTTTGAAACAAGCATTGTAAAGACTTTTTAATAATACAATAACTTTTAATTTCCTAGTGAAAATGAAAAGTTGCTTTTTGTAGCAGCTCTGGCCACTCTCCAGTTAGGCTGGGTAACATTTAATTAAAGCAACAAGTTATCCTAGTTATCTGAAAATATCTTTTTGTTAGTTTCACAGAAATATTTTGTGCCATTCAACATGGAAGAAACTTGAGTAATTATCTCACAAAAATTCTGCCTTATCTGAAATCTGAAGTTCAAAACAGTTTATCTAAGATACCTTTGGGACACTAAAAAAAAAAAAAAAAAGACATTTTATAAAATTATACTAGTCTTCAAGTGGATGCTTTAAAAGAAAGGGCCTTTTTAATGAATATTTCTGAAATTAGCAAGTTGACATCCTTTTCTAAATTATGGGAATATTTATTGGTAAAATTAAATTTATTAATTTTTATAAGATCCTTCCTCTGATTTAAGTAGGAAGTAACCACCACTGATACTGAAAGTTATCTAGTGATAAGAAATTGCACATTTAGTCAGAAAATAAATCATTAACCTATAGTTCTAATTATGTGATAATGAAAACAAACGATTTGTCTCCAGAAACCATTTGGTGAAGCTGATTTTGGACAATGAAAATGTCTTTCTGAATCTTTATATTGCAATTATAAGTAATATTATTAGCACTATCTATGTTTTTTTCTAAGATGTAAACATTATTTTAATATGTCTCTACTCATAAGATACATTTCCATCTAAGCGTGAAACAGAATACTGGAAAGGTTAAATACTCTTAAAATAATTCAGTCAAACACCCAAAAGCATAGTGTTTTGCCAGTGCGTGGGAGGTATCCACAAAATATCAGCCACATGTCTGAGAGAGGCAGTCTCATCTATGCTGTTACTCTTCATAGTGGTTAATAACATATACACTGTGTTTACGGTAACACTGCCCCGTGATACAAGAAGAAATGCTGTATCTTGATTTTAAATGCTACTTATTTACCTATCTTTTTAAATTCAATAAAGACAACTAGGTTTTTTAAAACATGTAAGTCATTTCATTTGAGAGCAAGATCTTGTTTACCAATAATGTCTGCCTATAAAGGATAGTATTACATTCACAGGATTTTTAGCTTTACACAGAAGCTTACCTAAGACAACATAAAAATATCATTAATAAACAACCCAACATCTTTAAGAATTTAAATACCTAACATCATGACAGTGAGCTTTAGGTAAGAATATACTGTTACGAAGCTATCTTCTCTATGACTGGACATAATTTGCTGTTCCTAAGATAGTAACATTAGAATTATTTTTCAGGATTCCTGTGGAGCTGTATTTACTTTACATCCATGTGAACTGCTGTCATCACTACTGTGTCCAAGCCCAGAGGATGAACTGGAAAAGAAGAAAGGGGGAAAATAATAAAAAGAGGAAATTGGTTTTCACAACACACTCAAAGCCTGAGTAACAGAGGAGAACTTTAATTATCTCCAGTCACAAAGAGAGACAGGAAATTTGGACTTTTAATTAGCCATTTGGAGTGCAGTTGGGTATTTTTTTAGCTAGATAATTTAAACGCGAATAATTCAAGTCTGACTAAATGAAAGTCACATAATCAGAATGCAAATAATTGAATTTCTACTGCATTCATTAATTCAGTGTGGAGGTGTGTGTGAAGACTACTATGATGAGCTGTCACAGCTCAATAAAATCTCAGTCAATTAATTTTTTCATTATCTTAGAATTACATCAACAAAAAAGGGAAGTGTGTACATATATCTACACACATGCATATGTGCACTATGTGTTATATAAATACATATACATTAAATCAAAACGCAAGGAAATACCTTTCTGAATCATAATCTATATCATTTTCTTTTTTTCCTTCTTCATCTTCTTCAGGGAACCGTCTGTTCATCAAGGCAAACTTGTGAATTGCTTCTTCCACAGAGTACTTAGTCTGCCCCGAAACACACGCCTCAATATCTTCTGAATTCAGATGGCTCTGTAAGAAGAGGTGAAGGCTGCTATCTGAAAGCAAAAGTGCATTCTGTAGGACTCTATATATAAAAAAAAGGAAGAATAATTGGTGAACAGGATGGTCAATGATAGGGCAGAAGAAAGAAAAATCATTAGAAATGTACCACTGAAGTTAATTTCTCTACTGTGGTAAACTTTGCATCAATTATGGGCTCTGCCCATTAAGGGGAAGAAAGCATATGTTAACTTTTATTCAATTATTTGGAAATTTAGGTGGGTGAAAAAATGCAGCTAATAGTTAAGAACATCTGTTAAAAGAATAACTTCAAGGACATTTCTTCAATTTAACCATCTGTTATTACCATGTGGATTAATTATGGAAATATTTTGCTTATATAGTCATAGAAATTTATTCTACTTTAAAAAAAAATTTACTGCCAACAGCATGTCAATTCAGTGATCTTTATGGGATAGGCTGTCATGAAACATCAAAACTTTCAACTACTATTAAAAATTATATGAAGAGGTTGATACATTTCTTAGCATAGTTTATATTTTAAAACTTTACAAATATAGTTATATATTTAAGTGCATGTTTACAACAGCTCATGAGAGAGATGGCTTTTTTTAATACTTAAGGTTGACTAGAAATTTATCCAAAATCTTTGGCAGCACTAAATCACTGTGTTGTCAAAATGAGCAACCAAATAAAATTGATCCCAGCCAATTTTACCATATACATAATTAAAATATGATAATTTAGTAATGAGTACATGTTGCTCTTCCCACATTCAAGATCAAAGTTTACAAAGAACAGATTTCAACTAGGGCATCAGAACTACATGGAAAATTTAAAGCTATTCTGTAGTTTTTAATTTAAAATCTATAGATGCTCAAATTCTTATCATCGGTGAATTTGTTTTCTCTGAATTCACATCTTAGAATATGAAATCAAATCAAAGTACACCTTTATATTTAAATAAAAACTGGTTTATCTTTTTAGCAAAGATGTTGACATATGATAATTTAGTCTCTACTAACAGTTCAATAATTACATAAGAGGAGACACTAAGACCAGATATAGGGGACAAAACTAAAACACTAAAACCCAAGTATAATTTTGACCAACAAAAGATTTTTCCAATATAATGATCTATGAAAAATAGATCATGTATTTCAGACCAAATGAACCTTACCTTATATTCTGCTTTTTAAAATAAGTAATAAGGAAAGTAAATCTCTTTTGGCCATTAATATTGATTTAGTGAAAATCTTAAGGTCATTAGAATACCAAGTCCTTTTCTACAAAATAAAACAATTATTTCTTAAAGAAGGCAAAAATGCCTAAAAATGCACAGTATTAAAACCAAAACCTAGCTGTCCCTTTTCTTCAGCAGGTTTACAGTTTGAGAGAATATTCTTTACTGGTCTATTAAAAGGAAAAGGAAAACTTTTGTGCTTTTTAAAAGGCAAAACCTCAAGCAAAGCAGCTAAATCCTTCCTTTTCCTTCTGTGTCCTCGGCCCTGGGTCCTCCCAGAAGATGACCATGTCACATGATAATGATGAATTTACCAAGTACAAGTAGCTAAGTAGTAAATCCCTTTTACTAGTCTTTGAGATTTATTTTCTACATTTACAAATGTTTACCATTCTTGTTTTAAATGCTTCAGATTAAGAGAAGAGTTATAGAGCAACAGCCATTAATATGAACATGGATCGTGAAGTCCGTGAAGTCTGAGGAGTGTTTCCTGTGGCCGCTGTCAGCAGTTTCCTGCCTGCCCTAAGTACAAGGAACTTTTCCTAGGATTGTACTCGCTGCTTTGTTTCTGTTGGAAATGTGTTTTATTTTCTTTATAAAATAATGGGTAATCTTTAAAATTGATTTTAGATGGTTTGAGGCATTACTCCACAAAAGTAATGAGCACTAATGCCAATGATATTGGACACAAATTCATTTTAGCTTTATTTCATGTCTGAAGCAATTCTACTGAGCCTTGAACCGCTCACGTACTGTTATTAACTTGCTAGTAACTTAACACATAGGTACAGCAAACAAAAGTGATCATAGTCCAGGTTGATCAGGACCTCAAGGCTACTGTCCTTTTTCTTGAGCTATAATTCAATTTCCAATTTTACTGTACGTTAGACTCATTATTTCCAAGTTTTCTTTTCTGCTCAATACTGCCATCTGGAGGACACACAGATGAAAAGAGAAAGGGCCAGGCCCACCCAGCTCACAATTAGAAAGAGGGAGACGGATGTGGCTGGGGAAGGAACATCTGAAGCCCCCTAGACCTACAGTTCAAACCAGTGAGTGGCCTAGGCACAGTTTTGGTTTTTGGAATCCCCTCTGTTTCTCTGTCTAAATTCATGCCACCATACTCCAAGAGTATGAGTTATAAATAAGCAAAAATAATTTTGAATGTCTTTATATGCTTTTAATTTTATAGTCAGATAGTTCATTCTGAAATTTAAAATGAAAACATTTGAGAGTGTTTTCCCATCTGGTTAGGTGAGCATAATTAATTTATTTTGAGTACTATTTGGCTTACTATCAGAGAGGGCTATGACTGCCACCATCATACTATTAAATCCTATTTTTTCTTAGTCATGTTTGTGCCATATTTTCCACAGACAAATGTAATAGCAGAAAATCAATTTCAAACTTAATATAAATAGTACTCTGTAAAACAGTCAACAAAACGTCATTTGTAGGAACCTCCATTTAAAAAGTACATGATTTTCAGACCTTTATAAAAGGAATAAAAAATAGCCTATAGAATTTTAAAAGAACTTCTAAAAAGATATTTATGGTGCAGATCAGAAGTTATTCCTTTCCCTACAACAATTTCAGACTAAACAAAGCAAAATCTGTTTTTTCCTTGAATTGGAACCAGTTGAAAATCAGTTTTCTTCAATGCGATTTTATTAGATGTATTGTATGCTGGTTTAGCTGAGAACAATATATAGCTATACAAAATCATTTCACCCTAACTAAGGATGTCCTGGATCTACTGAACTCAATACAGCGATATATATATACATCTGTATAGTACATGGAAGGTTAGCAGTCTGATGTAGAAAAAAAAATTGACTCAGCTTGTTTAGCTCTTAATATAAGAAAAAATAAAACCTACAAATCTTCATTGAAGACATTCATGATCTGTGCTATGGTGCCCTCTATTGAACACAAAGACATAAAAATCGTGTGTGTGTAAAACTAGTTTCACGTTTCAACAGTAGCCTTTTGTAAAAAAAAAAAAAAATTCCTTAATATTTGAAGAAATACAAAACTGTGATATAAAAGTTTAAACTGTAGGGTAAATGTAATTGTATTAATGGGATGAATTCAGTAAAGAAAGGAAGCTGGCTCCCAGTCATGAATAAATGTGTTCAAACCTAAATTGAAAATCCCATTCAACCTAAAAATTAGTAAGAATTTCATTTTTCACAATTGAAGACTTAGAGTTTATATTTTTTAGTCTGTAACTTTCTTTTCATAACTATTAGAAGTGACTTTAAATTTATAATTACTCTGGAGCAAGAATACAAAAAGGAGATTATAGTCAAGACTGAAGCAAAATGAATATATTTGAATATATATCTTATAATCATACCAAATGTAGCCTGCATTTAAGATTACTGCTCATTTTAAATTTGCCAGGTCCTGGGATTCTTATAGTACCTCCACCTTTCCTATAATTTCTTTATCTATAAAACTGAGATAATACCCAACTCCTAAGATTTTTCTATGTACTGAGATTAAAACATGTAAAATGCCAAACATGTAGAAAGTGTTCGATAAATGGTAGAAATTATTCTTATTTGGCACCTAGTCAAAGAAACAATTTTCTAATTCCTCTACAAAGATCAGTGCTTTTTTATTAAATATGTAACATTTCACAAATGACCTTAAAGAAAAATAGGTGTATATACACATATACAAAGACATTGTGGTCTCAAAAGATTTGAACATATTTAGTGCTTCCAGTTCATAACTTCAAAACTTACATGAAAACCAGGCTTTAAAAATACATGCTAAAACCCTACAATACAAGCAGGTTTCCACGTTTTAATGCTGTGGTTCCTAAAATTCCTCTACAAACAAGATGCAGGCTATTGATGGCTGGCCCTACTTAAGAGGTAACCAATGGGGCCTTAGAGGATGTCAAGCTGGGGCCACGACACACAACATACACATCACATCCAATCTCCCCAAGTGAACCTGGGTTGGGTGAGGGGAGGGGGCACCAGGGCAAAGACATGGAGGGTGCTACCTTACACAACTTGGGAAAGCACAGATCTGTAGGACAAAAAAGGGAGGCTGGGCACAGAGCCCAGGTGAGGCCCGAAGCTAGCCCTGTGGTGTCTGACTCCTCACTTCCTTCAGGCTTAGGCTGTATAGAAGCTCCAGCTTTCATTTTTAAAATGAAATCTTAGCTTGGAGACAAATGTTCACATACCCCAGTGGAATAAATGATATCACAAGAGAACCCCCTGCCAATTCCACAATTTGACAATCCAATCAAATGACAATCCAGATTCTGTGTTAATGAGTCTAGCCCTTGAGAGGTACACAGTGCTCCCCACTAGAATGGAAGCATCAAGAGGACAAGGACTTGTTCATTCTGTGCAGTCCTATGTCCGTGGCACACATCCTGGCCCAAAGCATACACTTAATAAACATCTGCTGAATGAAGGATCGCTGCATGGTTTTTGGAGTTTTTTTCAAGTCCTTTTCATCTGTATGACACAAACACCCAGTGAGGCTGGCTATGTGTGGATAATATTATCCCATTCTATAGCAAACAAAGGCTTAAAAGGAATGAAGTGACTACTACAACAGCATGCAGCTGGGAAAAAAAAAACAACAACAGGAACCATGATTATAGGAGACCTAGAACCCGCACCTTGAGTACCTGAACCAGGATACTTTCTACCATGACATCTGCATCAAATACAACCAGCAAACAGTTAAGCCATGCACTGTGCAAAAATAACCTGGCACAAGCATAACCCCACTATGCTGAATGACATTCACTGGGTCATTAATTTCGGTAGATCAACTGTGGATAGAAAGATGTGTTCAAAACAATGAAGTAATTCCTGGTCAAAAATACAAGCCCTGAGCTTAACTAGCAATATAATTCAGAGGCACATGCTGTCTTTGGACCTGAAGTAAGACTTCTCTACAGAAGACAAGCTGCCACAGCTCCCCCAGGACAACATCTATACTAGAGTGACAGGCAACTCTAGAATCAGGTTGCAGGGACCACATCTCAAGGGAGAGGCCATCAGCCACCTGAGCCTCATAGAGACAATTAAAATCAGAGCTCTCCTTGAGGGGAAAGGGCAGGAAAAACTTGGCCAAGTCTCTGTCCTGCCATGCCTGTGATACCCCCCAAAAATACAATGAAATGTTTTTGGAGGACTTGGCTCTGCTCATCAGTTCTTCTGGTCTCTTGCCATTTGTATTCCTCTGGCTTCTCTTCCTTTGCCCACTCTCCCTCAATTTATAATCTTGGATTTTTCTGTATGTCTCTAGGACACCTTCAAAGGAAAGGCACTATGTCAATCTGATAAATATTCATGTGCATACTTAATACCCAAACCCTTTATGAGAGAGCCAAATGGGGAGGAGGCAGTATATTATTTCAGGCTAGGTCTAAGGTCCTATTTAGTGAACCCCAAAGGAGATGACTGATCCTGAAACTACTAGAAAAAGGATGAGAGTCTGGGAGATTGGGCCCTGTCACTAACTAGTAGTCACATGACTCAGCCTGTTTCCTCATCTACAAAATTGGAAATTAGAAAAGTAAAAGCTGTCTCACGTCTAAGTGCATTAAGATAACAACAGCCAACACAAAGATAGCACACATTCTATGCTAGACACTGTCATGAGTGCTTTACAGTCAATAACTCATTTAATCTCTCAACAGCCCTATGAGGTAGCTACTATGATTACCCCATTTTATAAATGGGAAGACACAGTCACAGGTGGTATAGTATCTGCCCAAGCTCCCAGCTTTTAAGTGGCAGAGCCAGGTAGCCTGGCCTCAGTGCAAATCAACGTGCTACATGGGCTCTAGCATTCTGGATATTCTAGCATTTCAAAGAGTGGAGGGGAGGAAAATCACTGGTACTGTGAACTCCAGCAGCTTTAACTGCAGTACCCACCACCACAAAGTAATCCAGCTTAATAACTCACCGAGATTGTTCACATGCCACCAAATACTCCTTGATAAACATTCCCTCCAAAGGTTAGAGTTAAACCATTAGAGGAACCCAGAGGACATTAGCAGCCCTTCATAGAGCTGATTTTGGTCTATAAATTCTAAGCATTGTAAACAAAGACAGTTTTTAAGAAGCGTGTTTTGGGCCAGTGGCTCACGCTTGTAATCCCAGCACTTTGGGAGGCCAAGGCAGGTGTATCACCTGAGGTCGGGGGTTCAAGTCCAGCCTGACCAAAATGGAGAAATCCTGTCTCTACTAAAATACAAAAAAAATTACCCAGGCATGGTGGCGTATGCCTGTAATCCCAGCTACTAGGGAAGCTGAGGCAGGAGAATCACTTGAACCTAGGAGGTGGAGGTTGCGGTGAGCCGAGATCATGCCACTGCACTCCAGCCTGGGCAACAAGATCAAAACTCCGTATCAAAAAAACCAAAGAACCTTCTGATAATTAGGCATATTTGTTTCCTGACAAATTTTTGTTTTTGTCAGGTAAACTCCCACGTAATTTGAATCTGCTTGACAGCTTAAGGGACCAAGTATTTGTTATCTACTTCAATTCATTCATTGTTTCCTTTCTAGAAGACTGGGTCCCAAATATGTACCAGATGATGTGAACCACAAGATGGTGCTCTAATATAGGAAATGGACCACTGGGTTTCGTTCCAGTGCATATTATTTGCATTTCAGAAACAGGAACATTCTTCCCCACACCATCATCCAGCTCTTGCAAAGCACTTGCTCACACTCCTTGTCTGGCCACAGAAGTTTCTAGACACTCACTTTCTGAGGAAATCTTCCAGACCCTGGCGACGCTGATCCACATGTTGGCGATTGTTCATGTTGAAAAATAAGTTTTTAGATGGAAGTTCCGGCAGTTGTCTTAGGAGAAAGAAAAAAAAAATTTTTAATGATTAATTCAAGGTGCTTCTATTACAGAAATCCCTCAAAGTGAAGGCAAATTATGTATGATTATTATCACACAGTTATTCTATAATTATGATTATACATTATATAGTTATATAATAAGGGTATGAGGAAATCAGTTAGCTTAAGGAAGAACCCATCTTTAAACATTTCTGAGGCCTTTCATGGCCTATACTCATCAACGTTGGTGAAATTTAAGTGATAAATTTTAAATTCAGATGCAGTAGCTAAAAAACTAAAGCTACATATATTGTAATCAAGGCAAAGGCCTATAAAAATCCTTCGTATCTTATATATCTTAATGAACATCAATTTTAAACATTAAATATAATGACAAAGTCTCCTCAAAATACTCTAAATCACTTACACCAGCAATGCATTACTTTGGAGTCTCTGCCTCAGCCACACGAATTCTCTATATCTTCTTCGTACACAGGACGTTTTCATTGTAAAACACATGCTATTAGTCTGTACAGAGAAAGTAGAAAGATATGAGTCTTACCTGAGAAAAAATGTGTTCCTCGTATCTATAATTCACAATATGATCCCAGTATTCATTCTAAATAGGATTTAAATCACCAAACTTATATTTATGCCAGTACTCTGAAATCTTGCATATAACCCAGGAACATGACAGCCGAGATGATGGGAATGAGCAGTGTTGCCCCAGGGCGAGGTATGACCTGGGTCCTGAAGGAGCCGCCTACTCACCTATGAGCACTGCTTTCAAGAAAAAATCATAAAAAATAAATCCTAACATATAAATGACAGAGAGGAGCTCAGGTTCATCCGCTGCATTTTACGGCCATCCATGTAAGCCGGAGGAGCCTTTGGGGCTTAGAGACACCTCCTCGCAGTCCTTTATGAGACATTGCAGAAACCTTCATCTCCTTGTCATGGCCACCCTGCAGATCACACAAATCACCAGGTATCCTGAAATCACTTTTAAACTAGAGAACAGCCTTCCCTTCTTTACTGGATGTGAGAGGAAGCAAGTCCAGGCCAGAGAGCGGCTGTGATGCGTGGAGATAAGCATCTGGCACAGAGGACAGGCGGGCCAAAATTCCAGTCCTGGCTCTGCTATAGGGAAGTCACTCAGACTTCAGT